AATTACAGGAAATGACATCATTGATGTCAAACATTAGATATTCTGCAAAAAGTGACAATTATTTTTTTTTGGTCAAATTTGCAAATCTGCATAATTGAAGGAAAATAGTATTTATTACTAACAGTGAGTGAAATTTCATTCTGAAAATAATACAAATATGTTTTTTGTGTGAAAATATGATGTTATAACACATTCTTTATTATTTAAATAGACAGAATTATATACATTATTAAGACTTATATTATCATGTTTTTATAGAATACATTGAAAAATCTAAAAGGGACATTATTCAATTAACTCTCATAACAACTGTTAGGAAAAGGAAGTGAGTTCTTTCCCTTTCATTTTATTCAAAACCAAAAGAGGAAGTAAAAATAGCAAAATTTCCACCTAGCTGGTCAAAAGGAAAGAAACAGTTAATCTTGATTCTTTCTACGAAATACTGTTTAATACAACATTCAAAGTAAGTTTAAAACTTTATTCTAAATACACAGTTTCTCATTTATATAGAATAAATTATGTAAGAAAGTAGTTCAGGCAATATTTTAGACAATGTGTTTAATTTTTGTGTCTCCCTTTTATCAATCTCAAAAAAAAAATTGTTTAAATAGATTATGTTTTTTAATTAAATAGAAATATATATAATTATGCTTTACATTATCATATATTTTTTACAATATATTGTGGTGTTATATAAAACTAAATTTCCACATATCTGGTCAAATGACAAGAAATATTTTCTCTTGATTATTTTCAAGAAACTTAAATCCAGAATTCAAATTAAATTTAAAACATTATATTATGTTGTAGTTTCTCATTTGTATTAAATGAATTATGTAAAAAAGTGTAACATGAATATTTAAATGGGTGTTAAATTTTAGTGTCTCTCTTATATCAAAATTCTGATAACAAATATTTACATTTGTATAATAGACAAGAAAATACCACTATCAAATAGAGAAAAATATGCAATATTTTGATCAATTGATAACTCCCCCAAATTATTTGTTTTATGTTCATAATGTCCAGATTCAGTCTCTCCTGTTCTATTTTAGGACACAAAGGACAAATAAATTACAAGTAGAAGTATGTGATAACATTAATAAGACTGCTGACTTAAACAATTTTCTCTTTTACTAATATATTACAGAATGTTTCAAGAACCTGACTACAGAGAAAACTTATCATTGATGTTATCAGAGGTTTTACATGACATTGGTGTCAATGAAAGAACTGTGATGAGAAGTAGAAGAGGAGTCATGCTGATGGAGACTATGAATAATATCACTAGCAGGTTAACTGATGTAAATGACACTGTCTATTGTCTAGGGAGTCAAAGTGAAGGTACAACTACTATAGGACTTGATTCAGACATTGATTTGCTAGCCTGTTATCATAAATTCAATATAATACAAGACTGGTCAGAGTGGGAACCTGACAAGTTAAATTACCTCATGATACAGGATGAGAACACTACTCCCGGGTATTGTTTCTTACAACTACTCAGACTTGATGAACCTCTTCCTGCAACTGTCATTCCTAATGAACATTATATTACTGATAGAAGAGGAAGAATATTGTATAAAAACACAATGATAAATGATTTACTTGAGGGTGCTGATCAGCAGCATGGACCATCTATTGCTGAACTAAGACAACCTGGATTATGTGATATGGACAGAGTACTTGCTTTACCATGTAAATCATGGCCTCAATCAGCATCAGGTTGGTTACATAGACAGGGTATTGGCAGATGGCCAACACATGAGATGAGAAGATATGCAGCCAGTACTAGGTGTTTAGTTGTTCCAACTGGAAGTAAGGTCAGTGAATATCCTGAACTGGAATGGAGAATATCTACATCATTGACAGAAAGATGTATAATGTTTAATCTAAATATAACACAAATAAGGTGCTATGTACTATTGAAAATGATTCTTAAGTCCTTTCTTAATCCTCAAAATGAAATCAACATTTCAAGTTTCATGTGCAAAACAGTTTTATTACATTGTATAGAAAACACAGAGTCACGAATATGGAAAGATATCAATTTATTTACATGTTTAACATACTGCTTATTGGAATTACACAGTTGTGTACAGAATGACTGTTGTTCACATTTCATTATACCGGAAAATAATGTGATGGCAGGGCAATTTACAGCTGAGACAAAACACGAACTTTCAAAAAATATTTGTGATTTTATACAGAATGATAGACAACGGTTACTAAGTATTGATATTGATGATCTTGGTCATAGACTTCAAGTTAAACTGAACAGAGTACCACATGGAGTTTACTATTTTCCTTCTTCTCTTGAAATAAATGAAACTGTTTTGACATGGAGATATATCAACATTGCAAACAACATAAGTATACAACATAAGCATGTTTTAAGACATTTTCACAATGAAAACATTAGAACAATGAAGCAACATATAGTAAAATTGATGACCTTCAGTGATAATGGTAATAGATTTGAACAAGTTGCATTCAATTTTCTAGCACCTTTTCTTTTTACCACATACGGATCTACCCTAGCATCATCCAGCATTGGTGAAAATAATCAAGTGTCACCTCAAGCATTGGTCTGGCTATCAGCTGGTTTAAACGCAGATATCTCATCTAGCAGACTTAAACTGGCTTCAGTGTTCTACAGTACAGGAGATATGGAGAAAGCTGAACTAATTCTTAGACACACAGAGCAACAATATTATTCTTATCCTGTTTTACCTATCTGTCGCTGCTATGTCATGCCTTTAACAGTAACAGCAGAATTCAAGAGGATATGTAGTGAACAAAGTGAGAACTGTATCAAACATAATACAGCATTTTGTGTCAGATTTATACAGGGAGAGATCAACTGTGTTCCTCATGAACTACAATATGAAATGTTCAGATCTACACAAGATGACATGATACACAGAGATGAGTATAATGACTGTTGGATGGACTGGGCTGTAGTTGATTCCCTACCTTTCTTATACTTCCTACAATACAAGATCTATCGTCATCTACAAAGACATCAAGATCAACAACAAGCACTTTGTAAACTTATAACAACCATAGAAACAGATGAAAACCTACAACATAAAGAAACAGCTCTGAACATTTTAGGACAATGTATGGAACAAGAAAACAGACCTCAACAAGCATTAAAATGCTACATGCTTTCTCTTCGACAAAGGGCAAGGAACAATGCAGCAAATTTCCATATATGTAAGCTCGTTTCTGGCTTAATGGTTAGCCAATAAAATGTGACCAAAAAAAGATAGTATAAAGACTATATATTTCAATGATATCAAAAGGCTAAAATGACAAAATATAGGCCTGCCATTACACTTTTGATTGCATATTATTTTGAAACACAATTAAACATGTTTAATTGAAAGAATGATTCCAACTTCATTGACTTTGAATATCTGAAGTTAGGAGCCTCTTGTGTAGAGGACCAGTTTTGCTTGTGAAAATGTATTTTAAATTTTGGTTTATAAGGTGAAGTTTTTTTTCCAAGCTTTTTAGCTCACCTGTCACAAAGTGACAGGGTGAGCTTTTGTGATCGCTTTTCGTCTGTCGTCCGTCTGTCCGTCGTTTACTTTAAATGACATCTCCTCATTAACCACTCAGCCAATTTCATCCAAACTTCACAGGAATGTTCCTTTGGTGGTCACCTTTGAAAATTGTTCAAATAATTTAATTCCATGCAGAACTCTGGTTGCCATAGCAACCAAAAGAAAAAACTTAGAATATCTTCTTCTAAAAAACCCAAAGAGCTAGAGCTTAGATTTTTGGCATGAAACATCTTCTGGTGAGTGTCTACCAAGTTTGTTCAAATAAAAGCCCTGGGATCAAAATTGGCCCCGCCCCAGGGGGTCATTGATTTTCCCTATATGCATATAGTAAAAATTTTAAAAATCTTCTTTTAAAGAACAAAAAGAGCTAGAGCTAAGATATTTAGCATGAAACATCTTCAAATGGGTGTCTACCAAGTTTGTTCAAATAAAAGCCCTGGGGTCAAAATTGGCCCCGCCCCAGGGGGTCATTGATTTTCCCTATATGCATATAGTAAAAACTTAAAAATCTTCTTTTAATAGTAGTTACAGAGAAGTAGCGAGAAAAAGATTATTCTCTATATGCATAATCAAGGGCCATATCTCATGTTGCAGGGTCAGACTGGAACAAGGCTATGGTATGCGCATTTCCTCTTTATATATCTGGTTCCCTTAAAGTTTTGTTGAATTCCAGCCAGTAGTTGCAAAAAATAAACTGGAAACAAAATTCAGACAGACAGGTAGAGGGATGGAAGGACGAAAGGACAGACGGACAACGCCAAAACAATATCCCCCTCCCTAATCCATTGGGGGGCCCTATATCACTCAACTGATTTCTAGAAAAAGTCAGTACTCTTAAATGCTAATGTAGTTCATTAGGTGGGATCAATTTGGATCAAAAGGGCATGACTTAATCAATTTTTATAGGTGTTCACTAGGCAATGCTAGTATAATAGAAGATTTTTTTGTTGTTTTTACTATATACATGTAAGGAAAATCAATGACTCCCCCCTCCTCCTCCCACCCCCGGCGGGGCCAATTTTTACCAAAGGGCTATAAATTTGAACAAACATAGGAAAGATCTACTTTGAGCTGAACAAACTTGGTAAACACCCACTAGAAGATGTTTTATGCTAAATAGCTAAACTTTAGCATTTTGTTTTTTTGTTTTAGAAGATTTTTGATTTTTTTTTCTTTTTGTCATGCAACCAGACTTCTGCATGGAATTCAATTCTTTGAACAACTTTTAAAGGTGATCTCCCAAGGAACATTCCTGTGAAGTTTAGATGAAACTGGCTTAGAGATGTTGTTTAAAGTAAAAGATTACCGACATAATTATAATGGTCGTACACAAAATTTCAATCACAAAAGCACACCTTGTCACTTTGTGACAAGTGAGCTAAAAACAAGAGAATTTCATAAATTTGACCTTGACAGTCATAATATACAACATGTTTGTTTGCGAGCAAGTCTGCTTTTGTCCAAGTACATTGTATAAATCAAACCCATACATAAATAACAAAATTATGAAAACATACAAAGAAGGTGGTTTAAACATGGTTGATATTTATAGTTATATACATAGTTTAAAGATAAAATGGTTTAAAAGATATGTTAGTAATAGCAAAAGTAAATGTTATAAGCTAGTAAACACATTGTTTAATATTGATAAAAAATTTAACACTGGAAAGATGTATTGTAATTTGATTATTAGTAAAATAACAAATTCTTTCTGGATTGATGTTTTCAAAGCTTGATAAACTTTGTATAGATAATATAGAGCAAGTATTACATATGCCACTTTTTTACAATAGCAGGAAATAGATATATTTATATTCAGACATTATATAATAAAGGAATCAGATTTGTAAAAGATATTTATTATAAATGAACAGGATAACTTTGTAGATTTGATATATTTAGAACAGGTCAAAGGTAAACCTGTGAACTTTTTACAGTATCATAGTTTAAAACAGGCAATAAAAATGTACATGCAAAAGTTAAATATTTTTATAAGTAACAATTTGCTTAATGTTCAATATCCTATAATAAATTGTTATGTTAAACCTATTTTAACTATGAATAACAATAAGAAATATGTTTATGAAATTATAGCTAAAAATTCAGACATACCTACAAGTCAAGAAAGGTGGAACACATGTTTTAAAGATAATAACATTAATTGGCAGTTAATATATAGTTATGTTTTCAAATGTTCTAAAGATTCATATTATAATTCAGTGGTTCCAAACAAGAATTATTCATAGAACTTTAGCTACAAACTCACTTTTGTTTAAAATGAAAATTGTTGACAATAAAATGTGTACTTTTTGTAAATGCTGTGAAGAAGAAACACTTTTACATTTATTTTGGGAATATCAGAAAATTCACCTTAGAGAAAACTTACATAATTTTGATGATCTTCTTTGTTGTAAATCATTCATATTAGGTACAGAAACTAAAGATTTTAAATATGACATATTGTTAAGATATATTTATTTGTCTAAGGGAAAAAACTTTTTACCTACATGTATTTGTTTTAAAAATAGTTTGAAATTAGCATGGAATATCTATAGAAATACAAATTTGACAGATGATGAAAATAATAGATGGTCAATTATAAGATCCTTAATTGCTTAAACTACACTTAATATGTGAAACAAAAAAACAGATTGTTTAATTGTTTAATAATAAGTAGTAGTTTTTTTATTGGTAAAATATTTTTATGAAAATAGATGGGTTTATTGTATGTCTGTTGTTTATATTTATATACAAAGTATATACTGTAGATGTATTTGACAATATTTACATTAATATAATTATTTTGCAACATATATATTGTATATAAATAATGTAAGGTACGATGGAGGATGACCCTGACCCCCTCATACCTATTTTTGGGTAAATAATTGGGGTTACTCAGATGGGGCCTCAAAAAAAAAATTATGACAATTTAACCAAAAGTCAATAATTTGACCTTGATAGTCAAAGTCATTTAAAGATCAAGTTCTAACTTTTTAGAAAGTCTCCTCCAAAAGGTTATTTTGTCAAGGTATGAAGATTATCCATTTATTAATTACCAAGTTACAGTCAATTATAACAAAAATCAATGAAAATTCAATAATTTGACCTTCAAGATCAAGGTCATTTGTAAGTGAAGGTCAAAGCCTATCTGATCATCTTGAAGGTCTATCCTCAAAGATTGTTGTGTTCAAATTTGAAGACAGTTCATTAAACAAGAGCCACCGCCGGGCGGGGGCAACACACAACATATTTACTTTTTAGTATTGTGACAGGGTGAGCTTTTGTGATCGCTTTTCGTCTGGCCTCCGTCCGTCGTTCGTCTGTAAACTTTTACTTTAAATCACATCTCCGCATAAACCTCTATGTCAATTTCATCCAAACTTCACAGGAATGTTCCTTTGGTGGTCATTCAAAGAATTTAATTCCATAATGAACTCTGGTTGCCATAGCAACCGAAAGAAAAAACTTTAAATATTTCCTTTAAAAAAAACCAAAGAGCTAGAGCTTAGATATTTGGCATGAAACATCTTCTAGTGAGTGTCCACCAAGTTTGTTCAAATAAAAGCCCTGGGATCAAAATTGGCCCCGCCCCAGGGGGTCATTGATTTTCCCTATATGCATATAGTAAAAACTTAAAAAATCTTCTTTTAAAAAAAACAAAAAAAGAGAAAGAGCTAAGATATTTAGTATGAAACATGTTCTAATGGGTGTCTACAAAGTTTGTTCAAATAAAAGCCCTGAGGTCGAAATTTGCCCCGCCCCGGGGGTCATTGATTTTCCTTATATGTGTATGGCAAAAACTTAAAAATCTTCTTTGAAAAAACCCAAATAGCTAGAGATTAGATATTAAGCATGAAACATCTTCTAGTAAGTGTCTACAAAGTTTGTTTAAATAAAAGCCCTGGGGTCAAAACTGGCCACGCCCCAGAAGTGTCATTGTTTTTTAACTACTAGTTTATGTGACCCCACTAATGGTCTTACCTTACAATAGAATCGCCCTCTTCATCAATGCACTTTGCCCACCTGTGCTCCAACTTGTTTAATCCTTCAAAATAGAACTCTCTATTTTGGTCCTCAAAGAACTCATTGACAACCTCCATGACAGCTTCATTTCTTCCAAAAGGCCTACAACGATGCTTGTTTTTCAGTTTCAGAAACAGGTAAAATATGGGGGATGAGAAAGAATTTTCAAAACCGCAGTCAGTTGCAGCAGCCATCCCAACTTGGGATGTGTGAGCTGGCCCATTGTCGTGCAGGAGCAGAACGCCTTGAGTCAGTTTGCCCCTCCTATTACTTGCGATTTCTTGAGGCAGACGTCTCAATTCGTCTTCATAGTATGTACAGTTTATGGTACGACCTTGCTCAAGATAGTCAATCACGATTATCCCCAGACTTCTAGCAACATTTCTGAGCACTATGAAGCAGCCATAGGGGTGATGAGATCTGTATACTGGTTTGCAAAACAACAACTGCCAACATCTAAACATAAATCGCTGTTGCAGTTGCAAAAATCATAGGGGTGTAATTTTGTTGATGATAATTATACAGGTGAATAAATTGACAAAAACAACTTTTTATGCCCCCGCCATGTAATGGCCGGGGCATATAGTGTTACCCTGTTCCGTCCTTCCGTCCTTCCGTCATTCCGTCCTTCCGTCATTCCGTCCTTCCGTCATTCCGTCATTCTGTCATTCCGTCATCATCAGTTTCCGTTCATTATCTCCCCAACGGTACAACACATTCAACTTAAATTTGACATATGGATATGTCATGAGAAAATACAGGTCAAGTTCGAATTTGGTCATGGTTCAATGATTTTTGGCAGAGTTATGCCCCTTTTACTTTGAAAATAATATGAAATTTTCAGTTTCCGTTCATTATCTCCCAAACGGTACAACACATTCAACTCAAATTTGACATATGGATATGTCATGAGAAAATACAGGTCAAGTTCGAATTTGGTCATGGTTCGATGATTTTTGGCAGAGTTATGCCCCTTTTACTTTGAAAATAATATGAAATTTTCAGTTTCCATTCATTATCTCCCCAACGGTACAACACATTCAACTCAAATTTGACATATGGATATGTCATGAGAAAATACAGGTCAAGTTCGAATTTGGTCATGGTTCGATGATTTTTGGCAGAGTTATGCCCCTTTTACTTTGAAAATAATATGAAATTTTCAGTTTCTGTCATTATCTCCCCAACGGTACAACACATTCAACTCAAATTTGACATGTGGATATGTCATGAGAAAATACAGGTCAAGTTCGAATTTGGTCATGGTTCGATGATTTTTGACAGAGTTATGCCCCTTTTACTTTGAAAATAATGTGAAATTTTCAGTTTACGTTCATTATCTCCCAAACGGTACAACACATTCAACTCAAATTTGACATATGGATATGTCATGAGAAAATACAGGTAAAGTTCGAATTTGGTCATGGTTCGATGATTTTTGGCAGAGTTATGCCCCTTTTTCTTTGTAAATGATATGAAATTTTCAGTTTCCGTTCATTATCTCCCCAACAGTACAACACATTCAACTCAAATTTGACATATGGATATATTTTTGGAATGTCCAGGCCAATTTCGAATTTGGTCATGGTTCAATGATTTTTGGCAGAGTAATGCCCCTTTCACTTTGAAAATAATATGAAATTTACAGTTTCTGTTCATTATCTACCCAACAGTGTTACATATTCAACTCAAATTTGACATATGGATATGTCAAAGGAATGGGCAGGTCAAGTTGGAATTTGGTCATGGTTCGATGATTTTTTGGCAGAGTTATGTCCCTTTCACTTTGAAAATAATATAGATACGTCTTAGGAATAAGCAGTTTAAGTTTGAATTTGGTCATGGTTTAATGATTTTGGACAACCTTATCTTTCTTGAATATTGGAAATTTTTTGAACTTTTTGTTTCAGCACTCATACTTTTGTGGAAATGTATGTATAGCCATTATTTTGGCTACAAATATGAAATATGCTATTTTCAAAAGGTTAAGACTGAATAATTTCAGTGCCTTGAATATTGTATGAAAATGGTTTGTGTTAACACTGAAAAGTTTAAAGGGCTTTGAACTTAAAATGAAAACAATAATTTGTGCAAACAAATTTGGAACTAAATATTATAACATCTGAAATTTTGGCTGCATGCGGGGGCATCCGTGGCATGATGACACATTTCTAGTTAAAAATATAACACAAAAACAAGTATTTAACAATATTTTATTCACATATACCATAAAATTCCTAATAAATGCCCCTCTCCTAATAAAAGGCCCCCCCCGGCTTTAAAATTTTTTATGTTTGGAAAAAAACTGCCCCATGAGTTTGGGGTTTTTCTCTAATAAATCCCTAATTTTATTTTAAAACCTTCAGAAAACCATTTTTTTTTCATAAATTTAAAAAACAAAAATTTTAAATGAATTTTAAAAAAATTTAAAACATTTTAAAAGTTTTTAACCCAACCCAAAGTTACAACCCCAAATGTATTTTCAATGATTTTGGAAATTTCGGAAAAAAAGTGTTTGTTTAAAAATAGCCCCCCTTTTTGGAAAATTTTTTAGCCCCCCGGGGGGTTTAATTTGGAATTTTAAAGGGGAAGTTTTTCAAAATTTGGGACAAAAATCAAAAATTTCTTTAAAATAAAAAGAGCATACTTGTAGGGAAAAGCTCACTGTAGGGGGAGTATAGATTTAAAATTTAAAATACATCAAAAGGATAACTAACTAATTTTTTTGGTAAGAAGTAAAGTGCCTTAGAAAATAAATCTTATCAAGTGTTAATCTGTTGCTCTTTACATTTTTGTTCAATTTATTGGTATGACCTTAAGAATTTGAAATGACCCTAAAATGTAATACAGGGGGTCATAAAAGACCCTCAGAAAATCAGAGCTGGCAGAAACACTGAAATACATAACTAATAATAAAATTAAACTAGAATTGGGATCCATTAACTAAGCCAAATACAATATAGAGTATTTTCTACAATAATTGACTTAAATTCTGTATTTTTTTTATATCTCTGGCCTGATATATAAATTTATATATATTATATTGTAGGTATAATGATGTACCAGTAGCCATATGTTTAATGTTTTGTGCTGAGGGTGACAATTATCGCAGAAGCTTTAGAACTTGCTACAGACTCAACAGATGGCTGGGACTTATTTTGTTTCAGCGTAAGTTGATTATTAACAACTATTTTAATAGCAGTGTGAACAAGTGAAAGACAATAAATCTAAGGTAAATGTATCAGAGTATTTTTCAAGAATATGCATTTTACCCGTTCACTATGACCATAACAAGTATCTTGTGTATTGTAAGGGGTTTCTACTTTCATTGCTCACTTATGCCTGGAGGTGTTTGAAGATTTTCTTACATTATCAAGATGACAAGTTGCCTCATTTTACTTTACAGTACTGCATATTTGCACTTACTTTTCTCACGCGCTCATAAATAGGGAAAAAAAAAGTGTTGGAAATACAGTTGAACTCTCAATAAGTCAAAATCACTTTGCTCAAAATTCCACTTTAGTCGAAGAATTTCTAAAAGTACCATCAAATTTCCTTCTTTATTTTTTGTATTTTAACTCCGCTTAGGTGAAATTTTAGTCAAAAAGAAAATTTGTTATCATCAAATTAAAGTCTCAAATTTATCTCAATTAG